ATAAAAATAATGCTGGTCAAATTACACACAAATCTAGAGAGCTTATCTGAGGTTCCTGGAGAGGTCTTGTCCAGTCGCCTGATATCTCAAGTTATGCAGGAATGCTTATCCACCAATTTCGCCTCCTATTTGAGAGGTGTCAGCACAATTTTAACCTCTAGAGCACGAAAAATTCTTCCCCATTCACCAATGTTTCTAATACAAATTAAAAAACCAAGATAGCCAGTCTCGTCTGCGCAGACGCAGGCTTTCCGTTTTCTATGACATAAATATTATTAAATACAGTATGGCCATCTATTTACATATAAATACTGAATTTCTGGAAAATATATACAGTATTTTCCACACATACCATTACCTTGGCTGTCAGGGTCAGCTCTCACATTATTAGTTGGCTGAGATGGACAGCTAATAGAGCAATAGGGCCCCCAGAAGCTGTACCTGAATAAACTTAGAACTGTTCTATTCTGAACTAGTTGGGAGGGCATGCCAATAGATGTGATGAACATCTATTGGCATACACAACTCAGGTTGCTGGAACACATGTTGCTATGTAATTATCCCAACAATGCGTAACTATACCTAAGTTAGGCATAGGTACACATAAATACAGTTACATAAATTATTACACATATCAGCATATGTGTAGATTACCCAGAATAACCCAAAAAAAGTCAATGACTTATTTTTTTACGACGGCGTAGAGGTTATGGACACATATCAAATATATTGTAAATCCTTAGCCTATGATAACCCAGTACTCAGTTAAAGTTTAAAGCATGTACGCCCAAATTTGATTATATAGGGGGAAAAAAAGAACACGGTGGTCCGTGGTCTGGTGGCAAAAGTTCTCGCCTCACACGGTGAGGATCCGGGTTTGATTCCCGGCGAGGGTTGAAACATTGGGTGTGTTTCCTTGCACCGGTTGTCTATGTTCACCCATCAGTATAAAATGGGTACCTGGGTGTTAGTCGACTAGTTTGGGTCGCATCCCGGGACAAAACTGACCTAATTTGCCCAAAATACTCTGCATAACAAGTGACTTTCTACATAGTACTGTCATTGATGTCAGCTATGGTCAGTATACCTTGTACTTGTAGAAATAACGATATTATATTATTGTATTATAAAGATTAACATAAAGGGAAGGTGTCTCAACTATTGGATCACTACGACAAGGTCCTAGATGCACTAGAAGACAAAAAGAATGCAGATGTAATATATACACCCTTTGCAAAAGCCTTCGACAAGTGTGACCATGGCGTAATAGAGCACAAAATGCGTGCTAAAGGAATAACAGGAAAAGTCGGTCGATGGATCTATAATTTCCTCACTAACACAACACAAGAGAGTAGTCGTCAACAGAGTAAAGTCCGAGGCAGCTACGGTGAAAAGCTCTGTTCCACAAGGCACAGTACTCGCTCCCATCTTGTTCCTCATCCTCATATCCGACATAGACAAGGATGTCAGCCACAGCACCGTGTCTTCCTTTGCAGATGACACCAGAATCTGCATGACAGTGTCTTCCATTGCAGACACTGCAAGGCTCCAGGCGGACATCAACCGAATCTTTCAGTGGGCTGCAGAAAACAATATGAAGTTCAACGATGAGAAATTTCAATTACTCAGATATGGTAAACACGAGGAAATTAAATCTTCATCAGAGTACAAAACAAATTCTGGCCACAAAATAGAGCGAAACATCAATGTCAAAGACCTGGGAGTGATCATGTTGGAGGATCTCACCTTCAAGGACCATAACATTGTATCAATCGCATCTGCTAGAAAAATGACAGGATGGATAATGAGAACCTTCAAAACTAGGGAGGCCAAGCCCATGATGACACTCTTCAGGTCACTTGTTCTATCTAGGCTGGAATATTGCTGCACACTAACAGCACCTTTCAAGGCAGGTGAAATTGCTGACCTAGAAAATGTACAGAGAACCTTCATGGCACGCATAACGGAGATAAAACACCTCAATTACTGGGAACGCTTGAGGTTCCTGAACCTGTATTCCCTGGAATGCAGGCGGGAGAGATACATGATTATATACACCTGGAAAATCCTAGACTAGAGGGACTAGTACCGAACTTGCACACGAAAATCACTCACTACGAAAGCAAAAGACTTGGCAGACGATGCAACATCCCCCCAATGAAAAGCAGGGGTGTCACTAGCACGTTAAGAGACCATACAATAAGTGTCAGGGGCCCGAGACTGTTCAACTGCCTCCCAGCATACATAAGGGGGATTACCAACAGACCTCTGGCAGTCTTCAAGCTGGCACTGGACAAGCACCTAAAGTCGGTTCCTGACCAGCCGGGCTGTGGCTCGTACGTTGGTTTGCGTGCAGCCAGCAGCAACAGCCTGGTTGATCAGGCTCTGATCCACCAGGAGGCCTGGTCACAGACCGGGCCGCGGGGGCGTTGACCCCCAGAACTCTCTCCAGGTAAACTCCAGGACCAAGCAGCCCAGGAGCAGAGCAGAGTCAGAATACCAACATGACCTGGGTGAGTGACCGGCTCCTCTTTCAAGTTGTAAAAATCTACTTTATAGGTACAAAAAAAATTTTTATTGCCAATCAAAGTGCGTAGTTGATAAGAAAAAAAAAAGGAGCATCCAAAATAATAATGTGGGTTCATGACAATGATGGGTAGGAAAGGGCGAGACGTGCCCATCCCAGCATGACTAGTGCAGACGTCCTAGCGACGTACCTCTGCTTTACACCTTTACCTACCGTCATTAACGAATTCTTTCACCATACTCTAACCCACATATTCACTACTGTAACTAGTATCTGTACTATGAAAACCCGTGCAAAAAAAAAGTATGCCGTGTGATGCAACAAAACTAAACACCGCAAATTAAGGAGGAATTGACATTTAAAGTTATTTCAGTGGTGTATGAACGTGGTTGTGTTTACATGTTGTCAGAGGCTCAAGAGACCCCACCTCTGCTCCTCATTATTCCATCAATAACACGTAAGTTATCCTCCCCCTCCCTCTCTCCTCTCTTACACGCTTATATCACCATCTATCTCAATGTAAAACCATCATAATTGATCTTCTTGGGGTCTTAGTGGGGTAATAGAGGGTCCTTGGAGACGGATGTAGCTCATTAGGAATTTTGATAAGCACGTGAGTAGCAAATTTTATCTAGCTATATAGTCTTTTTAATGTGTGTTTTTTTGTCAGAATTCTGGTGAAACTAAGGTTGAACTGTGCTGGGTTCTTATGGCTTTTTTTTCTGATGGGTGTAGGTGTGGACGACGAGTATATTTGAACATTTAGCTTGAAAAAGGTATTTTTAATGTAATTTAACCACATTATTATTATTATAATCAAGGGGGAAGCGCTAAACCCGGAGGATTATACAGCGCCTGGGGGGGGATGTGGAAGGCATTCAGGCTTAATTCGAGGAACTGGAGCACAGATCCAATTCCCTAAATCAAGAGCCCCTCACCAACATCAAGGAACCTTCCTTGAGGGGAATTTAACCACAGAGGATTATTAACCTTAAGGAGAGAAATGGTATAAAATATCGACACGATGGGAAATATCGATGCATGGGCGAAACATCCAAAATCAAATCAAATCAATCAAATCGAAATTTTTATTTCTTTGAGTAGTTTACAATGTGTAGTTTACATGTAACAAAATAGTGTTAAGCACAAAGAAAGCCACTAGCAACAATGAGCATTTCAATAAAGCACGTCAATAAAGTATCCCATTACACTGTATTTGTATCTGTACCCAAAATTACACAAAGCCAAGTTGTACAACACATTACCACCAGGATCCTTTACGATGCTAGCCAGAGCAGCTGGTTAACGCGTAGGTACCAGTTTACCGCTAGGTGAACATGGGCATGCAGATGTAAGGAAATTTGCCCATAAGTCTTGCCGCCTCAAGAAAAGTAATTTATATCCTTTAGGGTGTGACTCCAAACTGAACTTCTGCTGTGTTGAGGTGTGGTGATTACCATTAGACAGGTGTGGAGCTTTGATGACAGGTAAGGAGCAGTGATGATATGTGTGATACATTGATGACAGGTAAGGTTCAGTGAGATGAGAGTTGAAGTGCACTGTGATGAAATATAATGTGCAGTGAGGTGACAGGTGGGGTACATTGAGATGACAGGTGAGATTGTAGGCAAGGTAAACTGAGGCAATATGACAGGTGAGGTGCAGTGCAATGACGTAGGTTCATTTAGATGACAGTTGAGTTGCAGTGAAGACAGGATGTGTAGGATGATAACAAGTATGGAACACTGAGATAGCAGTGATCTTTGCTGAAGATGCTATAAGTAATGTAGCTTTCCCACAAGCATTATGTATATTTATATATAATTGTGTACAGTACTGCATTTTTTCCTTTCTCCTATAATCGTATAAAGTTTTGATTTCAGTGTGCTGGATGTACAAGTTTCAGTATATAGTATTGTATACCAATATGACTATAGTACACAATGCAGATGTGTAAAATTCATCTTTTATTTCTATCATGATATGCTTCAGGTATTATTTCATGCAGCAACATTCATTTCTTATTTCAACAGTATGGGGCAAACTCTGAGTGAGCCAGTCACACAGAAAGAAACATCCCGGTGTGAAAATTCATGGCTACGTGTTGGTGCATCATGTATGCAAGGATGGCGTGTAAACATGGAAGATGCACATACAACAATACTCTCACTCCCAGATGACCCAGGAACTGCCTTCTTTGCTGTGTATGATGGTCATGGAGGTGAGTGCTTCATTAATAATAAAATACATGCTCAGGATGGTTGATAGTTATCAGTACATAGTCGCTTTTGTTTATTTTATGTAAAAGAATTAAGTGGAAACAATAATGGTGAAAATATGTCTAATTGTTTAATTTTATTGGGTTAGTTTTAATCTACATAACATCTTATTAATATATACCTGCAGCATCTATGCACCCTCAGAATCATTATACAAATTTATATTACTGCTTGTAAAATTCTTAGAATTTTTGAAGAAAGCTTATACGTATCTTATATTGGCCAAAAAAAAAAAATAGATGACAGAATAGTTTGCCTTAAAGAATTATAAAAAAAATATATATGATGCAAGAGAGGGAGACAAATGAATATACAATATGTGGTGCGAGATTCTTCATTCACATGAACAAACTAGATTAACAGCATAGGGAGTCTTAGTGTGTGGGAGTCGCAAGAGATGAGTTGATAAATAAAATGGCAATTATAGTACAGGTCGGCCTTCACTAATCCGGTAGTCAGTTATCTGGCTCCATCAGTAATCCGGCGCTAATTTCAGCTAACATAATTTCAAATTTCATCATTATAATGACTCAGAAATTGTGCAGATGGTTGTAAATCCATAGCAGCAAGCCAGTGGAGGAGAAAGCAGTGATGAAAATGAGGAAGTTGTAGCAGAAAGAGTCAATATTGATAGGTTAATTAAGTGTATTCTAACCTAACCGTTCTGTAATCCAGTAGACTCGCTAATCTAGCACACTACAGGTCCCAGCATTGCCGGATTAGTGATGGCCGACCTGTAATTTGAAAAATGCAGGACATGTACACCTTTCATGGGGGGTTACCTTAATGCTGAAGAAAGACTTGATCAAAGGAACTGGAGCTAACCGCTTTCTTGGATAAAATTTTATTACCCCTATCCCTCCCATTTCCCAGGCACTGTATGACCCAAATGGGTTTAGTGCTTTCCCATAAATAGCAAATAACAAAGAGAATGAAAAGAGATCAGTATGTCATCCCAGTATGTCATCCTGGTTATTCTGCAAGCATAGCTACAGGGACCAGCAAGTGCAGGAAATAATTGAGCATCCCAAGCTGAATTATTTTTTTCACATTCCTTTTGTAAGTGACCATGCAAAACATTCCTTTCTGGGTCTTCGAATTACTCATCTATTTAAAGTTACTGGCTCGGAGACAAATGAGAGCTTCAAAACTAGATGGAATACTGTTCAAAAGTTTTTTGGCAGACAGAGCGACATAAAATGGAGCTGATAAAGAACTACTCAGTTATATAATCAAGAATAAGGGAAAATAAGTGTATAACTTACCTCCTACCTTGGTAGGAAACACCTGATGTGGTATAAAGATGCAAATAAAATATAAATACAGTAAAATTTAAGTGTACTACAATTAACAATTCACAACGAGGATAGGAACTAGAGAAATAGTAGTGAATTTTATGTTAAGTAAATCTCAATTTTCCTTAGAAATTTGTTATAACTGGAGATGCAGACCTGGACAGAAATATCGGATATCTAATTATGGTTAATTTTTTTAAGTGATAATATTAAAAAGGTACACTTGCAGGGGCAACATCTTGAGAGGCTGAAACAAAATATAGAGTGCAGTGTATGCTTTCTCCCAGCTAACATAAGTACCGAAAGCCATAGAGCAGTAAAGGTTGCTTGCAGTAGTGTAGAAGAAATTCACATTTTTTTTTTTTTTTTGGCCAAACGAATATGCTCGCCACGTTTGCATCAGATGGTTGTGTACAAAAATAAGAAATGTATTGTGATAAAAAACTGAAAAAAAATCCAGATTTCAGTCAGTCTTGTTTTCATGAGAGATCATTGTACAAGCATAAAATCTCTTTATAAAACCAAAACCAAAAACAGTATTCAAGTTTTGTGTGCCAGGGTCAACTTATTAATGGCCTTTGTTGTCAAGTATTATTTAGTGTGCTTGTAAGTTTTTTGTACGACTTTGTTGAAGAAGGGGTAAGTCTTTATTCTAAGCAATCCTCTACTGAGATGGTTCATGTACTTTAATAAAAAAAAGTTCCAAGTGCATTTTATATTGTATGTGTGCATATACACATACCTCTGTTAGTTATATGCAATAATAAAAATTGTAATTCTTCTCTATAAAACTTATTAAAGCCATATAGCACAACCTAATAGAATATTCAATTCTCTTGTATTCATTGTAACTCACCTAATCTTAAGTTAGTTTTAGTTTGCCCGAAATGCTTTGCATATAAAAGGGTTTTTGTCATGTACATCCAGCTTTCATATTCCTTTGTACAAACATGTATCATGTTGAAATAAAATATTATTATTATTAGTAGTAGTAGTAGTACAGTGGACCCCCGGTTAATGATATTTTTTCATTCCAGAAGTATGTTCAGGTGCCAGTACTGACCGAATTTGTTTCCATAAGGAATATTGTGAAGTAGATTAGTCCATTTCAGACCCCCAAACATACACGTACAAACGCACTTACATAAATACACTTTCATAATTGGTCGCATTCGGAGGTAATCGTTATGCGGGGGTCCACTGTATTAAGGATAATCCAATTACAGTGTTGTATTTGTAAAGGTAAGATGAAAAGATTAACAGAAAGATCTTGATGTTACAGGTGCAAGAATTGCACAGCATGCTGGTAAGCACCTACACAAGAGCATTTTAAAAAGGCCGGAGTACAAAGCTGGGGACATCGAAACTGCTGTTAAGCAGGTCAGATATGTCAGTTTGCTCCAAGAGTTTTTATTTCTGTATTTGTAGTAGAAGTGCTTATGATGTGATGTGTTCTGTATTCAGTGTTTAACTGTTGTAAAGTTTAAAAATGTTTAAATTTCTATTATTTTCAGAGGCTAGCGAGTTCACCATCCAGCCCACAGTACAGGAATTCAAAGGAGAGAGAAAGAACAAACAATCAGTCTTTGAATTCCTGCTATTTCTAGCACCTTTTAGGCAGAGGATGTCAACAAAGTGACCAGTCTTGCCTGGTTCCAGGCCAGTGAAATCCAGACCATCACTCCCTAATACCTTTCAGTTTCATTATTTTTCATGTATTATAATATATTTTTTTTATATATTTTCAGGGTTTCTTAGATTTGGACAACTCAATGCAGACAGATGAGGTGTTAAAAGATGAACTGGCAGGTACCACAGCCATATGTTGTCTTCTTCGTAATGGAACTGTCTACTGTGTGAGTGTTTTTTCAAGATTTTCTGTTTACAACTCATGTCTTTTTCTCTTTTAATAGCAGAGATTCCCAGATGCATGTTCTAGGGTATACCTGTTTTCTGACCTTGAGAGATCGTGTGGTGGAGTAGGGTTAATTTTATAATTTATGTTGTGAGTACAGTAGATTTACCACAGTTAAGTTAACTCACAAAGTAATAAGGCTATAGTCTTCAGCTCTTATTAATATTACCTGAAGTAATTTGCCATCACAATTTTGTATCTCGTTAAAAAATTCATTGCACACAATTGTTGATTTTTTAAGGTAAAAATAAAGAGGCTTACATTTATATACTATACAAATACTATATTGTATAGGTTTTGATATTTATGGAACTCCACTATTCATGGTGTTCCTATGTTTTCTTTCCAAAATATTCTTGATTACCAGTACAGTGGAACCTCGGTACTCGAACAGCTCCCTACTCTAACAATTCGGTATTCGAACACTTCATTCGGTAAAAAAAATCCCTCAGTAGTCGACCATTTGCTCGGCACTTGACCAAACAAACACAACCTGCCAGAACTTCGCTCTAAACTATTTTGTGTTTCTTCACTTTTTTTTTTTTATATATACTGTATTTGTATAAATAAGTCACCATGAGCCCTACAAAGATTAGTGATAACAGCCAACCAAAAAGAAAATTGATCGGGAAAAATTAGTTTGGCACTCGAACGGCCTTCTGGAACGAATTAAATTTCAGTACCGAGGTTGCACTGTACTAATAAAATATATACGTATATTTTTGTTTATTTTATCACAAGTGTTTCTACAGATTTAGTATTCAAGTTGCCTCTAAGAAAATAACTTGTGTCAGTAATAAAAATTTTCCGTATGTGCATTTGAAGTACAATACAGGTCACCCACCAACTTATTTTTCCAAAATTTCTCCAACTTTCACATACAAATTGGGGCACTTTGAAATTTATTAAATATTTTCAGTTGCGAGGCCACATTACGAACATGTGTAAAAAATCATTTCCTGTACTGTAATATTATTTTATATACATGTAACTTGTTTTTAAGTTGAGCAACCAGGAGTGTAACTTGTTTGTAAGTTAGTGACCTTTTTTGTACCTTAAAATAAGCAGGTGTTCAGTGGCCTTGCTAATCCAAAATCCACTGGCACCACAAAACAATGTGAATAGCATTACTCTCTCCTCTTCCAGGCATTTTCATGGGTGGGTTCACCATCTCCATACTTCTTTATTGATTCATTTGTGTTGAACTTTGTTCCCTCTTAGCTTCTCACATTTTTGTCTTTAACTTCTTAAAAATTTACTTTTTGCAAATGTCTTTTTAAGATCATTTTGAAAATATTAAAACAGTAGTCTGTCTTTGTCTCTCTGTCTCTGTCTCTCTCTGTCTCTGTCTCTCTGTCTCTCTCTGTCTCTGTCTCTCTCTGTCTCTCTCTGTGTCTGTGTCTGTCTCTCTCTGTGTCTGTCTGTCTGTCTGTCTCTGTCTCTCTGTCTGTCTGTCTGTCTGTCTGTCTGTCTCTCTCTCTCTCTCTCTCTCTCTCTCTCTCTCTCTCTCTTAAAGGTTTATGTCTCGTATTTATTTAAGACTTTGTACACAGTAGGCCTATACTGGGCAACATAACCCATGTTGAAAACTGAAAGAAGTTAAAGAATTAAAGAATCATAGCAAAGAATAGATATAGCACTGAAAGGTATTCTCTCCAGAGGTCCCAGCAAATACTGTAACAACTCCAGTGTATCTTGATAGTTTCCTTTTTGCATTCATTGATATACACTTTCTTACCATAGATTCATTAACATTTCTAATAAGTTGTTTCCCTTGTGCATCCTTTTATTTACCTTGCCCTTCGTAGACATGTTTTCCACGTATTCACTTGCCCCCAAACTCCTCTTTTTCAATCAGATGTTAAATCTCCCTTCAAGGATGTGGCTGCCTTGATGATGGCAAAGGCCTCTTGATCCAAGGAATTGGAGCTTTCCTTTCCTTCCACAGGTGAAACCTGATAGTGAACTTAGATAAGAGTAAGGTGATGAGGGTATCAAATGGTTTAGATAAAGAAAAATTGGATATCACATTGGAGAGAGGGAGTATGGAAGAAGTGAATGTTTTCAGATACTATTTGGGAGTTGACATGTCAGCAGATGGGCTTATGAAGGATGAGGTTAACCATAGAATTGATGAAGGAAAAAAGGTGAGTGGTGCATTGAGGTATATGTGGAGACAAAAAACTTATCTATGGAGGCAAAGAAGGGAATGTATGAAAGTATTATGGTACCAACTCTCTTATATGGGTGTGAAAAATTTGGAGTGTGGAAATTAGGAGAAGGTGTGGAGTTAATAAAAGTATTAGTCAGAGAGCTGAAGAGGGATTGTTGAGGTGGTTTGGTCATTTAGAGAGAATGGATCAAAGTAGAATGACATGAAGAGCGTATAAATCTGTAGGGGAAGGAAGGCGGGGTAGGGGTCGTCCTCAAAAAGGTTGGAGGGTGGGGGTAAAGGAGGTTCGTGGGCGAGGGGCTTGGACTTCCAGCATGCGTGAGTGTGTTAGATAGGAGTGAATGGAGATGAATGGTTTTTGGGACCTGACGAGCTGTTGGAGTGTGACCAGGGGAATATTTAGTGAAGGTATCCAGGGAAACCAGTTATTTTATATAGCTGAGCTTGAGTATTGGAAATGGGAAGTACAATGCCTGCACTTTAAAGGAGGGGTTTGGGATATTCGCAGTTTGGAGGGATATGTTACATATCTTTATATGTGCTTCTAAACTGTTGTATCTGGGCGCCTCTGCAAAAACAATGATTTTGTGTGAGTGAGGTGAAAATGTTGAATGATGAAAGTATTTTCTTTTTGGGGATTTTCTTTCTTTTTGGGTCACCCTGCCTCGGTGGGAGACGGCCGACTTGTTAAAAAAAAAATAATAATTTACAAAGTACAGCATACAAGTGACACAGGAATAATTTACATTATTGGCATATTTTACGGAAAGCCCCTGGTTATGCAGATCATTTTGGGCACTGCATGACTAGTATAGGCTTAGGAGTTTTACAAATATAGCACCTGGTTACAGTGATAATAGCAGTAATATTATTAATAACAATAATAAACTCATTTTCCTGTATAAATTAATAAATTTAAAGGGAAAAACTTTTGTTTTTCTTTTTAGGTCACCCTGCCTTGGTGGGATACAGCCATTTCGTTGAAAAATAAAAATAATAATTATAATATCAAAACTTTGTTCCCTGTTCAGTACCTAAACTTTTTCTCACATTATGCTCTTTAATTTATTTCTACCATACTATTTAGGGAAACGTTGGAGACTCACGAGCAATAGCGAGTGTAGGAGGGCGTGTTGAAGAGCTGAGCAATGATCACAAACCAAGTTTAGCCTCAGAGCAACGGAGAATCACAGCAGCGGGTGGATGGGTGGAACTGAACAGGGTTAATGGCAATTTAGCATTGTCAAGAGCTTTAGGAGACTTTGTTTTTAAGAAGAATGAACTAAAAAGTCCCGAAGAACAAATTGTTACCGGTAAGTGCAGTAATACCATACTGTACTGAAAAGATGATTGACACGTATTAATGTATTGTTTGTTAGATGTTGAAATATGTAGCACTGAACATTATGATATCTTTTATAGTTTCCCAATATACCTTACCTTTGATGAGTTTTGAGAGTCACTTAAATATTGTCAGTTTTGGTAGATCATTATTAAATATAGTTTGACTGGTACAGTATATCAGGAAATATTTCACATATATATTAATTGTTAATTTATGTTTTGTACATGTTCATAAAGTAATGTTTTTGATATCAAAATTTTTTTTTTTTTTTTTATTTTTTTTTTTTTTTATATTACTCTGTATTGGTATTAATATTTTTGAGTGTGTCAGGCCCAGACCCAGACTAAGTTAATTTTTCTGCCCTCAGAGAGACCTAAAAGTTTTATTCTGATTTGCTTCAGCATGTCCAGATGTTATAGTGCGAGAGATAACGGAAGAGTGGGAATTCATCTTGTTAGCTTGTGATGGCATTTGGGATGTCATGACCAACCAGGTAAATTTTTCCTAAACTTTTTTGTACATTATCTTCATGTTTCTTTACTTTGTATGTGGCATTTGTAAACTTTATTCTGATTATACTCTGATCCCTCTCACATTTTGAGAGAAGCTTTCAAATAGAGAACTTTTGGATACTTAACTTACATAACTGAAGTGCAAATCTGTGCTATTCTAACTTCAAAAATGTGAAATACTTGAATCAGATTTGGAAGCTTTTCAACATTTAGCATTCGGTGTTCTCAAAACTGCATGTTGCAAATGCTTTCCCAGATTTGATAATTCCCCTTTGATTGAAAATTTCCCTGAGCAAAATGCCCTCTTTAATAAATATCCGACATGTCTTATCTCATACTTGTCAGTATCTTAATGCTCCTCTGATTTAAAAATACACTTTGGGCTTAAGGAAAATAGACAAACACCTTATGATACCATTATTAACAGTCTACAGAGCAGTATTATTCATGTACAGAAGAGTACATAGCTATAAATTCATGTACAACTCTGCATTTTGTTCATTTAGGGTTCAGATACCCAGAAAAGTCATTAGTGCAGCAAAGCCTCTACCTCATCAAGGCTGCATTTGTGGTACCCTATATTATATACAGTACATAAGAGAGGAGCTGTGTTCTTACATACAATACGTAAGAGAAGGTATATATAGGGGACAAACTGGAAAAACTGTTCACTACAAGCTTTATTCCAAAATTGAAATATGCAGCAGTGGTATGGAGTCTGCACCTTTAAAAACACATGGGTAAGCTAGAAAAAGTAGAAATATGAACTATATGGCTCCCATAGCTAAAAAAAAAAAAAAATAAGTTGCATAGAAATACTGTAGGTGTTTCGTTGGCTGATAGGAGAAAAAGAGGAGACATGCTAGTTACATTTAAAGTTATAAATGGATATGAAGGAATTGACAAGGAGATTTTCCTAACCCCATAAACTGGCAGAACAAGAGGTTTTATCTGTAAGTTTATAAAAAAAACTGCTAGAAGATTTTCCAAATAGTGATAGAAGAATAAAATGATTTACAAGAGTACTGCAATCACTGGAATTTGAAAAAAAGTTTATCTTGAAATTTTATTGGTTTGATAGTATAGTATGTTGCTTGTCACAAATGCATGTTTTTATTAAAAAAAATTTTTAAGTGCATTATGAAACATTGAATTTTTTGGAGGAATAAATTATTTTTGATAGTAAAATCTGATGCCTCTGGGAAGAGATTTAATTGCTTACATTGCCTCATCACTGTAGCTTTTAGTAACTCCCGACTGTTTTCTCCAGCAGGCTAACCCAGTTATACCATAATGGCACCATGAGAAGGAGGGGAGGGTAGAGTACAGCAGTAGTAGAAAAAGAGCCGAGTAAAGAATGTTTCATATATAGGAAGGCCCTGCTTATACTGCAGATTAGGTTTTGGGCTACTGCATATACAAGCACGATAACATATTTTTTTTTTTTTTTTTTTCAACAAGTTGGTCGTCTCCCACCGAGGCAGGGTGACCCAAAAAAGAAAGAAAATCCCCAAAAAGAAAATACTTTCATCATCATTCAACACTTTCACCACACTCGCACATTATCACTGTTTTTGCAGAAGTGCTCAGAATACAACAGTCTAGAAGCATATACGTATAAAGATACACAACATATCCCTCCAAACTGCCAATATCCCAAACCCCTCCTTTAAAGTGCAGGCATTGTACTTCCCATTTCCAGGACTCAAGTCCGACTATATGAAAATAACATATTTACACTATTATATATTAAGTGAGCAATAGAACTAGGCCAAAAAAATGCATGTACAGTACATACATTACTTACCTTTTACATTATTTTCATCCTTAGCTTATACTGAGTGGTGAATATATTTGTTGTAGGAAGTCTGAATAAACGAGGAATGGATATAATTGAAAACCACTGCATTACCAAAACGCCATAAAGCGAAGTGCCATAAAACAGGGGCCTCCTGTACTGTACTATTATTATTACAATCAGAACTAAGTGCTAAATCCACATGGGTCATACAGAACTGCTTAACGTACTGTAAATGTTTTCCTTGAGATATGCTTGGGGAGGGGCTTTGGATACTTTTTTTTTTTTTTTTTTCAACAAGTCGGTCGTCTCCCACCGAGGCAGGGTGATCCAAAAAAGAAAGAAAATCCCCAAAAAGAAAATACTTTCATCATCATTCAACACTTTCACCACACGCACACATTATCACTGCTTTAGCAGAGGTGCTCAGAATACAACAGTTTAGAAGCATATACATATAAAGATACACAACATATCCCTCCAAACTGCCAATATCCCAAACCCCTCCTTTAAAGTGCAGGCATTGTACAGTATTTGGTTTTCAAATGTTTCCTTTTTTACAAGCATTTTTTTTTATTTCAGGAAGTGGTCAACTTTGTGAGACTACGGTTATCTCAAGGTATGGAACCTGAAGATGTGTGCGAGGACCTTATGACCCGGTGCCTGGCCCCCGACTGTCAGATGGGCGGTCTGGGCTGCGACAACATGACTGTCGTTCTCATCTGCCTAGTTCACTCAGGATCTTGGCAAGAGGTATAGTTTAAGAACATAAAAAAGGAGGAATACTGCAGCAGACCTATTGGCCCATACTAGGCAGTTTCATCTCAGGCCCAAACCTACTAACAGAAATATTTTTTTTTTACTGCAAGTGCATGTACAAGGTATACAGTTACATACTACTATAAAGAAAGTCCTCTGCATAACAAGGGACTTTCTATATAGTAGTATGTAACTGTATACCTTGTACATGCACTTGCAGTAAAAAAAATATTATTATTACTGTGAGTCTGTCTCAGTGTGTGTTTCCCTTAATCCATTTAAATTTAAAAATAAAATTTTAAAACAGAAATATCTACCCAACCCAACACAATGTTTTATCCCACAACACACACACACACACATATGTATGTCTTGTATGAAGAAAGAAGTGAAGTTGCTGTAGAAAGTAAGGTTATCCACTGACAGGTATAAATAGCTATTTTATCTAGAAAATATTTTAATTCAGATTAATAGTTTTTGTATAGTAATTGTGTTGCTTATAAATTATTCTGCATTTTCACTACACAAGTGTTGGTGTACCTAGACAGATTTTCTTTGATGTTTGGTAGGAGTGTGCCAGAGTATCAGTTGGTATTGGCTCATTTTGATGGTATCAGTCTAAGATGGAGTATCAGTATTGGCCAAAAATTTGGTATCATTCTTTCCCTAATTTTTAGGCTATATATATATATATATATTTTTTTTTTTTTTTTTTTTCTCAACAAGTCGGTCGTCTCCCACCGAGGCAGGGTGACCCAAAAAAAAGAAAGAAAATCCCCAAAAAGAAAATACTTTCATCATCATTCAACACTTTCACCACACACACACACACATTATCACTGCTTTTGCAGAGGTGCTCAGAATACAACAGTTTAGAAGCATATACGTATAGAGATACAAAAACATATCCCTCCAAACTGCCAATATCCCAAACCCCTCCTTTAAAGTGCGGGCATTGTACTTCCATTTCCAGGACTCAAGTCCGACTATATGAAAATAACCGGTTTTCCCCTGAATCCCTTCACTAAATATTACCCTGCTCACACTCCAACAGATCGTCAGGTCCCAAGTATCATTCGTCTCCATTCACTCCTATCTAACACGCTCATGCACGCTTGCTGGAAGTCCAAGCCCCTCACCCACAAAACCTCCTTTACCCCCCCTTTCCAACCCTTTCGAGGACGACCCTACCCCTCTTTCCTTCCCCTATAGATTTATATGCTTTCCATGTCATTCTACTTTGATCCATTCTCTCTAAATGACCAAACCACCTCAACAACCCCTCTTCTGCCCTCTGACTAATGCTTTTATTAACTCCACACCCTTTTCCTAATTTCCACACTCCGAATTTTCTGCATTTTATTTACACCACACATTGCCCTTAGACAGGACATCTCTACTGCCTCCAACCGTCTCCTCGCTGCTGCATTTACCACCCAAGCTTCCATCCATATAAGAGTGTTGGTACTACTATTTCTTTCATACATTCCCTTCTTTGCCTCCATAGATACGTTTTTTGACTCCCCATATACCTCAACGCACCACTCACCTTTTTTCCCTCATCAATTCTATGATTAACCTCATCCTTCATAAATCCATCCGCCAAAAACGTCAACTCCCAAGTATCTGAAAACATTCACTTCTTCCATACTCCTCCTCCCCAATTTGATATCCAATTTTTCTTTATCTAAATCATTTGATACCCTCATCACCTTACTCTTTTCTATGTTCACTTTCAACTTTCTACCTTTACACACATTCTCAAACTCATCCACTAACCTTTGCAATTTTTCTTTAGAATCTCCCATAAGCACAGTATCATCAGCAAAAAGTAACTGTGTCAATTCCCATTTTGAATTTGATTCCCCATAATTTAATCCCACCCCTCTCCCGAACACCCTAGCATTTACTTCTTTTACAACCCCATCTATAAATATATTAAACAACCATGGTGACATTACACATCCCTGTCTAAGACCTACTTTTACCGGGAAGTATTCTCCCTCTCTTCTACATACCCTAACTGAGCCTCACTATCCTCATAAAAGCTCTTTACAGCATTTAGTAACTTACCACCTATTCCATATACTTGCAACATCTGCCACATTGCTCCTCTATCCATTCTATCATATGCCTTTTCTAAATCCATAAATGCAATAAAAACTTCCCTACCTTTATCTAAATACTGTTCACATATATGCTTCAATGTAAACACTTGATCTACACATCCCTACCCACTCTGAAGCCTCCTTGCTCGTCCGCAATTCTACATTCTGTCTTACCTCTAATTCTTTCAATTATAACCCTACCGTATACTTTTCCTGGTATACTCAGTAAACTTCTTTCTTTCTTTCTTTCAACACACCGGCCGTATCCCACCGAGGCGGGGTGGCCCAAAAGGAAAAACGAAAGTTTCTCCTTTTACATTTAGTAATATATACAGGAGAAGAGGTTACTAGCCCCTTGCTCCCGGCATTTTAGTTGCCTCTTACAACACGCATGGCTTACGGAGGAAGAATTCTGTTCCACTTCCCCATGGAGATAAGAGGAAATAAACAAGAATAAGAACTAGAAAGAAAATAGAAGAAAACCCAGAGGGGTGTGTATATATGTGCTTGTACATGTATGTGTAGTGTGACCTAAGTGTAAGTAGAAGTAGCAAGACGTACCTGAAATCTTGCATGTTCATGAGACAGAAAAAAGGACACCAGCAATCCTACCATCATGTAAAACAATTACAGGCTTTCGTTTTACACTCACTTGGCAGGACGGTAGTACCTCCCTGGGCGGTTGCTGTCTACCAACCTACTACCTATAACTCAGTAAACTTATTCCTCTATAATTTTTACAATCTCTTTTGTCCCCTTTCCCTTTATATAAAGGGACTATACATGCTCTCCGCCAATCCCTAGGTACCTTCCCCTCTTTCATACATTTATTAAACAAAAGTACCAACCATTCCAACACTATATCCCCCCCTGCTTTTAACATTTCTGTCATGATCCCATTAGTTCCAGCTGCTTTACCCCCTTTCATTCTACGTAATGCCTCACGTACCTCCACCACACTTACATTCTGCTCTTCTTCACTCCTAAAAGATGGTATACCTCCCTGGCCAGTGCATGAAATTACCACCTCCCTTTCTTCCTTAACATTTAAAAGTTCCTCAAAATATTCTTGCCATCTACCTAATACCTCCCTCTCCCCATCTACTAACTCCCCTACTCTGTTTTTAACTGACAAATCCATACTTTCCCTAGGCTTTTTTAACTTGTTTAACTCGCTCCAAAATTTTTTCTTATTTTCATTAAAATTTCTTGACAGTGCCTCTCCCACTCTTTCATCTGCTCTCCTTTTGCACTCTCTCACCACTCCCTTCACCTTTCTTTTACTCTCCATATACTCTGCTCTTCTTATAACACTTCTGCTTTGTAAAAACCTCTCGTAAGCTACCTTTTTCTCTTTTATCACACCCTTTACTTCATCATTCCACCAATCACTCCTCTTTCCTCCTGCCCCCACCCTCCTATAACCACAAACTTCTGCCCCACTTCTAATACTGCATTTTTAAAACTATTCCAACCCTCTTCAACCCCCCCACTACTCATCTTTTCACTAGCCCACCTTTCTGCCAATAGTCGCTTATATCTCGCCCGAACTTCCTCCTCCCTTAGTTTATACACTTTCACCTCCCTCTTACTTGTTGTTGCCACCTTCCTCTTTTCCCATCTACCTCTTACTCTAACTGTAGGTACAACTAAATAATGATCCGATATATCAGTTGCCCCTCTATAAACATGTACATCCTGGAGCCTACCCATCAACCTTTTATCCACCAATACATAATCTAACAAACTACTTTCATTACGTGATACATCATACCTTGTATATTTATTTATCCTCTTTTTCATAAAATATGTATTACTTTTTACCAAATTTCTTTCTACACATAGCTCAATTAAAGGCTCCCCATTTACATTTACCCCTGGCACCCCAAATTTACCTACTACTCCCTCCATAACATTTTTACCCACTTTAGCATTGAAATCCCCAACCACCATTACTCTCACACTTGATTCAAAACTCCCCACGCATTCACTCAACATTTCCCAGAATCTCTCTCTCTCCTCTACACTTCTCTCTTCTCCAGGTGCATACACGCTTACTATAACCCACTTTTCACATCCAATCTTTATTTTACTCCACATAATCCTTGAATTTATACATTTGTAGTCCCTTTTTTCCTGCCATAGCTTATCCTTCAACATTATTGCTACTCCTTCTTTAGCTCTAACTCTATTTGAAACCCCTGACCTAATCCCATTTATTCCTCTCCATTGAAACTCTCCCACCCCCTTCAGCTTTGTTTCACTTAAAGCCAGGACATCCAGTTTCTTCTCATTCATAACATCCACAATCATCTCTTTCTTATCATTTGCACAACATCCATGCACATTCAGACTTCCCACTTTGACAATTTTCTTCTTCTTATTCTTTTTAGTAATCTTTACAGGAAAAGGGGTTACTAGCCCATTGTTCCCGGCATTTTAGTTGACTTTTACAACACGCATGGCTTACGGAGGAAAGATTCTTATTCAACTTCCCCATGGATATAAAAGGAGAAGTAATAAGACCAAGAACTATTAAGATAAAATCAAAGAAAACTCAGATGAGTGTGTATAAATAAACGTGTACATGTATGTGTAGTGTGACCTAAGTGTAAGTAGAAGTAGCAAGATGTACCTGTAATCTTGCATATTTATGAGACAGACAAAAGACACCAGCAATCCTACCATCATGTAAAACAATTACAATTATATATATATACAGTGGACCCCCGCATAACGATTACCTCCGAATGCGACCAATTATGTAAGTGTATTTATGTAAGTGCGTTTGTACGTGTATGTTTGGGGGTCTGAAATGGACTAATCTACTTCACAATATTCCTTATGGGAATAAATTCGGTCAGTACTGGCACCTGAACATACTTATGGAGTGAAAATATATCGTTAACCGGGGGTCCACTGTATTTTTTTAACAAGTCGGCCATCTCCCACCGAGGCAGGGTGACTATGTATTTGAATATATATATTTGAATTCAATGTATATTACTGGGAAGTAGAAGAAAGTGTAGGGTGGGGAAGGGGTGATTATTGTATAAAGTGAGTAATGCATCTTGGTAGAGAATGGAGAACCAGCCAAATTAATGAAATACATATACAAATGGAACACAATGGGGAGGTTTCAGTTTAGGTTATTTTAATTATGACATCCAGGCACTAATGGCAAGACAGCTATGGGGAATGTGTTTCCTTTCTGTTGCTTTACCTTGGTGGGAGACAGCTGTTGTAAAGAAAAATGCAAAGGGAATACACAATGTGTTTCCTAAATTAACTGCTAAACACATTGTAGGAGAACAGATAAAGATATCAGAGTACATGGATTATGGCAATTTTCAGTATGATTAGCAATGCCAGAGATGGTACTTCTTAAAGCATTTGTGCTTTCTCATTTAGAAGATTGATATGTCATCATATTTTTCTTCAAGGCAGGTGAGATATTCCAACCATACAAAATTAGTGAGCATTTATTGCTTGTATAGACTTAAAAAAAACATTTTTGTGTGAAATGTCTCAATGAAAATTATTCTTCACACATGTTGACAGTATGATCTTCACACATGTTGACAGTATGAGCTTTACACTTGACAGTATGATCTTCCCACTTGTTGACAGTATGAGCTTTACACTTGACAGTATGATCTTCCCACTTGTTGACAGTATAAGCTTTACACTTGACAGTATGATCTTCCCACTTGTTGACAGTATGAGCTTTACACTTGACAGTATGATCTTCCCACTTGTTGACAGTATGAGCTTTACACTTGACAGTATGATCTTCCCATTGTTGACAGTATGAGCTTTACACTTGACAGTATGATCTTCCCACTTGTTGACAGTATGAGCTTTACACTTGACAGTATGATCTTCACACTTGTTGACAGTGTGCCATTCCATTCTTGATATATTTTTTAAAGGTTAGTCAGAAGCCATATGTTTGAAAGTTATAAAAGAACAAGTGAGTACAAGTGAATCTGATACCTATTACCCTCTACTTCCAGCACAGTTTCTTTTCCCATTCAGCGACACAGGAAAACAGGGGTGATGATGACGATGTGAATTATCCTACACTCTAATGTACAGTATTACGTATTGTAAACCTCAAGAGATTTTAAACATTCCTTCTCTTGAGCATTCTTTTTTTTTATATTCACCTGTTTCTGTATTAATGCAACAACATAAGATAGTTTTTAAGCTTTAGAAAATTTCTACAGGATTTGTTCAAACTTAGGGAACGCATGACGATAGAAGGGCTGTTGCCTTTTGGATCTGATGATTCATCCTCCTCAAGTGATGAAAATCGTGATTGTGTAGCAGACTTCAGGAGGGTTTTGCATGAAGAAAACTAATTTAGTATCTCTCAGACTTAGGCTATGTTTAAGTAAGTAAAAAATATAAGATTTATACCATGAATTAGGTATTTTCACAAGTACAGTAGTCTACCTGATAAACAGCATCTTAACTCTTTCTCTCTGTACAGTACTACAGCACAATAATTTTGATTCAAGGCAACTTGAATTTTGGGGGTGGGAAGCACAGTGCCTGTACTCTCAAGGATGGGTGGGGGGTGTAGTTTGGAGTGTTATTTGAATTATGATGATCATGTATTTCTGACAAGACAGCCAGTGAAGGAGTGCTCTTGGAGTGATGAATATCTTTCCTTCTTTGAATCACCCTATCTTGGTGAGAAATCACTATGTGGTTAAAAAAGTAAATTAATAAATAAATAACATAGACCTTATCCATGGAGGCAAAATGGAGAATGTACCAGTGTGTTGTACTAGCACTTCTATACAGGAGGGCCACTTTTGACCAAAACAGTATCTTTTAAAAGTTAAAATGTTTTGTTTTGCTCTTCAGCATAGCATTTATCAACATTTTGCCTCCTAATAATTTATACTCTGATAGCAAGTTTTTGCTTTTATGTATATATGCACTGTATGAATTTTTTAACACACTAGCCATCTCCCTCCGAGGCAGGGCAACCCAAAAAAGAAGAAATGAATGCCTTTTCCTCTTTTTAGTGATTTATACAGGAGAAGGGGTTAATAGCCCCTTGCTCCTGGTATTTTAGTCGCCTCTTATGACACGCATGGCTTATGGAGGAAGGACTCGTCTCCACTTTCCCATGGAATGTACTGTATATATACCTGTATATTTATTTTTTTGCAGCTACAGGAGAAGTGTGCTCGGCCAAGTTTATCGCTTGGAAACCAGAGCAACGGTGATGACAGTGATTTGGACTTGCAGTGAGCAGAAGGATCATTCAGTCATTTTGTAATGATATGGAAATAGATTCATACATACTTTCATAAATTCATTCTTAGTATGTAATATGTATGTTTATATGTATGAAACACGCACATACCTACACTAACCTTGACTTCAAATGTATATACAGCCTAATACCTGCAATAATACATAGGTGAATGCCCACTCATACATGCTCTCGTACACTATCACATGCCCCAACGTATCTGCTTGTGTGTTCACAAGTGTGCACACACACACACTCGCACACACACACTCGCGCACACACACACTCGCGTACACTCGCGTACACACACACTCGCGTACACACACATACACACACACACACACACACACACACACACACGTATGTACGTGAAGAGGCGGGACCAGGAGCTGTGACTCACCCCCTGCAACCACATATAGTGAGTACACACATACATTATCTTTCCAGTAAATGGGGAAAAATGGTTGACAGAAACTTTTCAGTCACTGTGGATGTATAAATTGCCACTGCCAGTTGAGGAATTTCCAGGTTACAGTACATTAACACCATGTTTGAGATTAGCGAAATTCTACAATGTGCTTGTTATTTCTACATTTGGCATTGACAGCAAGTCTCTAGTAGCTCTGAAAAACCTCTTCCAGCCATTTATCCCATTTTCTAGAAATGTTTCGATATCCAGTTCTCACAAACTTTTTTTTCCATACAGTATATATATATATATATATATATAAATTATACATGTATATAATGTTATGTGATGATATACTATTCATAAAGAGCTTTGCTAACTCATGAATGGCATTAAATGTGTGTGAATTTGTCACAAATTTATTTGATGATCAACAAAAGATTGGGTATAATATTAATACAATGACTGTTCTATGTACTAAAACAAAATTATTTTTACTCTTGGTATAAATTCCTTTCAGTTGCTGTTTTGGTTTTCTGTGATCATTCTATTCATGGTTTTGTTGAATTATTAATGTGGATAATTTTTTCCCTTATTCCACTGTAGGAAAAGTAAGTTTACAAAAGCCTTCCTTAAAGTGTTATGAGGATGTATATTTATAGCGATTTTTCTATTTTTTTTCGAATCTTGCTTGATCAAGAGGAATTTACATTCTGTACATCTTTTGTTTTCATTTTAATAAAGCTCATTATGTTTTACATTTATAAAAAAGAACTCCAGCATTCATGTATATTTTTCATTTTGTCATTTTTGATTCATTATTAGACATTTCATTATTCATGCAAAGGTATTGTTAGTTATACTCATTACTTTACAGAGAAGTTTGTACTATGGTGTTAATATTAAAGCTTGTGTGTGGAGGCTTGCTGGTAACTTCATGTATATAGGACCTTCAACGTTCTTTACAGGTCTGTAAAATAGATGTGAACTGTACTGGACACAGGAAGGTATCATGTCAAGCCCACTTTTGTCAAAGTTGCCTTTTATTTTTTTTTTTGTCTTGTGCTGCAGATTCTTTTATATTCTGAAATTATATATGCTTATCATTCACCTCCAGAACTAAACCATGGATAAAGAAAAGTAAGGAATTGAAGTAAATGCAGTTAAAGGAATAAAAGGGAAAAACATGAGTGGCACTTTTCCACTACTTTCTCTTATGTGGGGGGCACCATGAGTGGTACCTTTCCACTACCTTTTCTTATGTGGGGGGGACAACATGAGCAGTATCTTTCCACTATCTTATGTGGGGGGCAAATGGAGCAATGAAAACAAGGAAATAAAATTACAGATATTGTAGGATGTAGAAGTAAAGAAATTGTACAATATTAGAAATATAAGTGCTGTATGACCCTTTTGGGTTTAGCACTTAACTTGATTATAATAGTCATTAGAAATATAGATAATTACAATGAGGTTATGTACCCTGGATAGCTACAACTGTACATGAAGGGACAGACTTTGAAGAAGCACATCAGAACTTAACATGAAGTTGAATCGAGCTGACAATACAAGGCAACTTTCAAGTGATACACCTTAAATGTGATAGATTTAATAATGCAATTCTTTTTATGTTAATAAATGTTTTAAGTAGGAAAACTGAAGGTAACATGTATAAGATAATTTGGGAAGTCAGTTAAGTGCAGTATGCAAATACAGTGGACGCCCGGTTTACGATATTATTTCATTCCAGAAGTATGTTCAGGTGCCAGTACTGACCGAATTTGTTCCCATAAGGAATATTGTGAATTACATTAGTCCATTTCAGACCCCCAACATATACATACAAACGCACTTACATAAATACACTTACATAATTGGTCGCATTAGGAGCTGATCGTAAACCAGGGGTCCACTGTACTGTTGTACTTACAAGTTCTCAGGTTTCTTTATCTATCGAGCAACTAATGATTAGATTACAGTATTCAACGTATTTAGTGATGGGCAACCCGTGAACATTAAATTATCCTACTTTTCTGGTTTCCTATGTCCATATATCTATCTTCTTTCAACAAACTGGCTGTATGCCACTGAGGCAGGGTGGCCTCTATTCTGCTCAATATTATGAATGTCAGTGTTAATCAGAGTAATATATTAAGAGATACAGTTATGGATGTGGGGTGTTCCGTGGCCTGGTAGGCAACTCGTTTCACACACTGGGTATCCGTAGTTCAATCCCTGCCAAGGGTGGAAACATTGGGCACATTTCCTTACACCTGTTGTCCACATTCACCTAGAAAGCAAGTAGGTACCTGAGTGTTAGTCAACTTAATACATCCTGAGGGACAAAATTTAAGGACCCCAATGGAAATAAGACGGACACTCCTCGATGACACACTAACTTTCTTGGGTTATCATGGGTGGTTAATCCTCTGCTGTTAAAAACCAGAGCAAAATCTTATCTCAGTGAGGCAGTGCTGTATGACCCTTGTGGGTTTAGCACTTAGTTTTCATTATAAATATTGATCTTACTGAGGTGGTTTGAACATTCAGAGAGGATGGAGCAAAATAGGATGACTAGCAGAGCATATAAATCTGAGAAGGAAGGGTAAGGAACATCACAGGAAGGGCTGAAGGGAAGGGATTAAATCTTCATGTCATTCAAATATTCAGGGAGGAGTGCTAAACTCATAGGGGCCATAAAGGGCATGGAGGATTGGGAAGGAAGTATAGGACCGTATTCCATGCATTCACCCCTCAAGGAAGGTTCCTTGATGCTGGTGAGGGGCTCTTGATTTAGGGAATTGGATCTGTGCTCCAGTTCCCCAAATTAAGCCTGAATGCCTTCCACATCCCCCCCCCCCCAGGCGCTGTATAATCCTCCGGGTTTAGCGCTTCCCCCTTGATTGTAATAATAATAATAATGGTGAGGGGCTCTTGATCTAGGGAATTGGATCTGTGCTCCAGTTCCCTGAATTAAGCCTAAGTACCTCCAACAAGCGCTGTATAATCCTACGGGTTTAGTGCTTCCCCTTGATTATAATAATCCATGTATTCAGAGCTCCTCACCAGCATTAAGACATTCAACATTTAATATCCTTTCCCTCTAAAGCGCCTTGATCCAAGGAATTGGAGGTGCCCTCCTTGGATAAAACTTAATTACTTCCCATTTCTCAGGCACTTTTTGACTCCAACAGGTTTAGCCATAATGTTTTTTATTAACACACCGGCTATTTCCAACCGAGGCAGGGTGACCCGAAAAAGAAGAAACACTTCCATCATCACTCACTCCATCACTTCCTTGCCAGAGACATGCCAACACTACAGTTCAAAATCTACATAATATCTCCACCCCTCCTTCAGAGTGCAAGTACTGTACTTCCAACTTCCAGGACTCGAGTCCGGCCAACCAGTTTCCCTGAATTCCTTCAAAAGTGTTGCTTTGCCATAAATATATATCAAGGAATTCTACTGTAGACCTAACACTGAAAACTGAAAAACTGGAAGTGCTTTAAGAAAATAAACAAGAAATGAAAGTTAATATTTACACAGTAAGAATACAAAATTCTGAAGAATGACATTGCTGTTAAGAACATAACACACTCCAGTTAGAGTGAACCTGATTACTAACCATTTCCAAGTGCTGCCTGACTCATGTGGGTTTAGTACCTTGCTGTGCATATATTGCTGCTTTGTATGATCCTTGTGCCCCTCAAGGAAGGTTCCTTGATGTTGGTGAGGGGCTCTTGATTTAGGGAATTGGATCTGTGCTCCAGTTCCCCAAATTAAGCCTGAATGCCTTCCACATCCCCCCCCCAGGCGCTGTATAATCCTCCGGGTTTAGTGCTTCCCCCTTTATTATAATAATAATGTATGACCCTTGTAGGTTTAGCACTTCTTTATTATAATATGCATATATTGGATGAAAAAAAAACCTCAAGGGAGGTTCCTTGACATTGGTGAGGGGCTCTTGATCTAGGGAATTGGATCTGTGCTCTGGTTCCCTGAATTAAGCCTGGATACCTTCCATCCTCACAACATGTGCTGTATAATCCTACCGGTTCAGCACTCCCCCATGATTATAATTATAATTTTGGATGAAAAACAAAAAATCGTAATTCTGTTTCACTCAAGAAAAGCTATGACCCTTGTCAGTTTAGCGCTTTCTTTGATTATAATAATCAAGAAAAGCCTTTATCAAATCCTTGCTGATAAAGGGTTCTTGATCCAGGGCATTTGAACTACTCCCTTGAAAAAATTTAAATATCTTCTAATCAGTAGGTGTTGTGTGGCTTATGTGGGCTTGGCATTCCCACTTCAATTTAAGCAACCCACCATGAATTTATGATTGATTTTTACAAAAGCTGCGCAGAAAAGATGCAAATTACTCCATATACAATGTGTCTAGTCAAGTGAAGAGGTAAGGACCTGGCTTATGTGACCTGTGGTTTAATTACCTGGAGTTTACCTGGTACTTGGTTTTGTTTATAATATGTATGACCGGTACTGATGCATAGGTCCTTATTTGACCTTGCAGCCAGCAGGTGACCTAACCTGATGGAGATCACTCGACGAGGATTACCCGATGAGGATCACCCAATGATCACCCGATGGGGATCTCGATGGGATCACCCGATGGGGATCTCGATGGGATCACCCGGTGGGGATCTCGATGGGATCACCCGATGGGGATCTCGATGGGATCACCCGATGATCACCCGATGGGGATCTCCATGGGATCACCCAATGGGGATCTCGATGGGATCACCCGATGGGGATCTCAATGGGATCACCCGATGGGGATCTCGATGGGATCACCCGATGGGGATCTCGATGGGATCACCCGATGGGGATCTCGATGGGATCACCCGATGGGGATCTCGATGGGATCACCCGATGGGGATCTCGATGGGATCACCCGATGGGGATCTCAATGGGATCACCCGATGGGGATCTCGATGGGATCACCCGATGGGGATCTCGATGGGATCACCCAATGATCACCCGATGGGGATCTCGACGGGATCACCCGATGGGGATCTCGACGGGATCACCCGATAGGGATCTCGAAGGGATCACCCGATGGGGATCTCGAAGGGATCACCCAATGATCACCCAATGGGGATCTCGATGGGATCATCCAATGAGGATTACCCAATGGGTGGACACAGTGATTCACAAAACCCTCAACAATAAACAGCTGCTCACATTCTCCACAACATAAGCTGTGCTGTTTTGTAATCCAAATTTGGAATCGAACAGCAGCAGCAGCCAGTATACTGTAGAAGTAACCTGATACCCTCTGTGAAAATTTGTGTGGACTGCCTCCAAGTGAGTTGCCTACCCTGGCAAACTCTGTTGACACCGAGCTCTGAGGTGGGTACCTCAGCCTCACAAGTGGCTTATAGGACAGATTTTCACAAATGATTGGTGTTGCAAGAAACTCTCCTGCATGCACGTATAAAGGGCTAACTTACTTGGTGTTGCAGCATATATCCTGATCTTCAACTTCCCCAAGCTTAGCCTTAGCCCCTTTGGACTTCCCCTCAGAAACCACGTGCAACCGGGAGCCTTAATTTCTGCAATATTCAAACGTTATTAGTGTCCTGCCTGCACCTCAGAAATTCCTATATCCAAGAGGGTATGTATCCCCTAGTATAACTATGCAGACACGGACACTAGCTTCCAGACTGCCTTGAGACACTGGTACTTACTGGGCATGCACTGCCTGTTGCACACCGGACCCACAGATCAAACTCACTCACAATTCTCCCCAGACACTGGCCAGAAATCTACGAGATAAAGTGGAGGTCTTGTCTTACTGTATGGGCCTGACGAAGGTCATCTACGGTACATCGAGGTGCCTCTACCAGATTTCCCTAGGTCTCAAATGTGAAGACACGTGGGGGCGCCGTCTGCTGATCACGGCACGTCTTGTCCAGTTGGTGTCTGTCTTGAGAAGAACGAGCTGGTCTCTCTTCCAGACCTTCATCTCTTCGTTCAAACTAGGGCTGCCAGTTCTCCCTAGCTAACTTATCCTAGTGTTTGCCTACATTATTGGCCTATTACTACCTATGTTAAGGTCTTAGGTCTACA